CCACCGCCTCTGGCCCACCCGCCAGCACCGCTCGCCCCAAGCAGTGGCCGGACCCCAGCCAGAGCTTGTTCTGGTTGATTCCTTGTGTGACTGGTTTCTGAGCTGCGCCTGGCTCGCCGGGGCACTGAGGGGCCGAGTTTCATTCCCTTGCCCAGCCCGAGCTGGCAGCCTCTGGCAAGTCTGTGATGCCTCCCGGGCAGCTCTAGCTTTCGGCATATTCCCGCTAACCAGATTGCTCAGGAAGCTTCAGGGTCACCGGGGGGCGCAGCCTGTTCCTAGCTCGGCATGTGGGTTCAGGCGGGACATCCAAGCCCACAGGAGCCCCGAAACACGAGACCCACAGGCTCCTGGCTGCCCAGCGCTGAGGGTGATGGGCAGACTAGCCCTTCGGCTGGTTCTCTGCCAGCTTGTGGGGGGCAGGTAGACTTACCCCTGCCATAGACCCTCTGGCACCCCATGGTAAGCTGCACCCAGATCCAGCAGCTGGCCCCGTTCCAAGTAAAATGCCCAGCACAAGGACTGGTGGCCTTGTTGCCACTCCTGCAAGGGGGCGGGGGGCTGGGGGGGGGATTGCAAGTCATTGCTGCTGAGAATGGTGGCCTCTGTCTCACTCTCGCTGGGCCGAGGCCCTGCTCCTCCTGGGCCTGCATCTTCTTGGTCCACTTGGTGGCTAACAGGACCCCCCGGTCCTTTGGCACCTGTAGCCATCCCAGGCCTCAAAATCACAGCCAGTCTGAGGGTATGAACGGGGGCAAATCTGTGCCCTGGAGGGGAGCCACTTCTCAGCCATGAGCGGGACAAGGAGCGGCAGCCAGTGGCCGGAGAAATGAAAAGGAAGAGACAGCGGGGCAGCTGCCCATCTGCTGCTGCTCAGATGTAACTGGGTTAGTGCCTCAGGGGCTCCGGGCTTGTCTCTTAAAGCGGCAGAAGCCAGAAGCGGCAGAGGCGGTGGCAGGCCGGTGAGAACGGGCCTTGGGGCTCAGGCAGCCCCGGGCTGGCCAGCAGCTCCACACTCATTGGCTCTGCGACCCTGGGCAAGACACTTGGCCTTTCTGCACCTTGTCTCCTTGAATCTAAAGAGGTGGCCATGTGAACACGTGCCCAGTGTGGTGTGACCTCAATTACAGTTTCTACTTGCAGCCAAGTAACCAAAGAGGCCTCTTTCCATCCTGCCAAGTGGCGTGTCCCCCTCACCCCCTTGCCAAGCACACTCCATGTGTCTCCCTGCCGCGTAGAGCCAGCCACTCAGAAAAGGTGGCCTGCATTCGGCACTTTAGACGCCCTGAGAAAGCCACGCCTCGGGGGTGTGATGGGGCTCCTCTGTCATCTTTTCGCCCACTGCTGGCTGCCAGCACCCAGAACCCCTCCCGCCCTCGCTTCTCTGCTGGGTAAGTGGGAATGTTCTAGAGGGAGCTCCAGCTGATTACCTCCCCCGGAAGAAAGAGGCAGGAACTCATTCGCCCTCACATCCTGTTGACTGCAACCTGGGCAGGTGGCCTCCATTCTCCCGCCTGCCCTGCAAGGTTGGGAAGTGAGGGTGTCGCGCTCTCGGGGAGAGCACCACCGAGGAGCTGGATGTGCTTGCTCCACCCTCCCCCCGCCCCCGCCATCCCCACTCCTCCTAGATGGATTTCAGGCAGTGAGGAGGTGGGAAGGCGGTGGGAGGGCCGCCCTGGCCGCTGGGGCAGCTAGCTGTGTAGCTGTGTGACTCTCACCTGCAGACGGGGAGGAACCCTGGTGCCTGCGGATAGTTCGCTGCGTCAGGTGCTCCTCCACTGCGGGCTCTTTCTCCGCAGCAATAAGAGCAGGCTGCACGCCAGGTGCCCGCACCCATGTGAACGTGCCTTGGGGGCTCCCCAGATGAACTGAATGAGCTAACATAGGCACTTAGAACCGTGCCTGGTGTCATCAACACCACGAAAGCATCTGCTGTGTCACTGCTAACAGTTTCCCTGCCAGGAAGCCCCAGGCCGTGCTGGTTGTGGGTCACCCCGCCCCCCACTTTTGGGGCAGGTGTCAGTTGGTACATACAGGACGGCCCCCTGGGTCAGAACAGACCGTGCAGCTCCCATTGGTCCACTCCCGGTGTTAAATATTCAGATGAACTGTGTGAAATGGCTTATTTCTCATGCAAAAGCGGCTGGATGTCAGCACTTACCCAGTTCAGGCAGCTGCTCTGGCCGTTGCCCCCGAGTGCAGGAGAACTTGAGCTCGTTGTGTGCCCAGCCTAAGCAGACACATGCCTGCCTCCAAGGGACTTGCTGAAACCCAAGGACAGATGGGAGCCCTGAGCTGACTGTCTGTCTGTCTGTCTGTCTGATGCCCACAGGCCCTGATCCTTCATCAGCTGCGCCGCTACAGCCTCGCGGAGAAGATACTCCGGGACGCGGTGCAGGTGAACTCCACGGCCCATGAGGTCTGGAACGGGCTGGGCGAGGTCCTCCAGGCGCAAGGCAATGACACAGCCGCCACCGAGTGCTTCCTGATGGCCTTGGAGCTGGAGGCCAGCAGCCCCGCCGT